TTGTCCATACGCTGCCTGTTCCCCAAGGGCTGAGGCTGCGGCAGCTGTAACCAGCTTGGTGCTGGCCACAGTGCACATCTGGAAAGGATGCTCTTGCTGAGACCAGTAATTCCCTTCATTGGCTACTGTGTTCAAACCTTGCCACTGTCATGAAGACAATATCTGTGCTGTAATGATGGGGAGGGTTTCCTAGGTGGACTGTCAGAATGGCACCAGTGAAGCTGGTGGCCTTTGGCATCAAAGGTTAAGAGAACTCATGTAGTGTCCTCTTCCCACCCTGACAGAAAAAAGCTGCTCTCACAGGTGATTATAAACCAGTATGGAAAAAAGAGCTAGGTTATGGCCTACTGTCCCCTCATTAACAGGCTAATGAAGAGAAAATCAGGGCAAGTCTTTGCAGATGCACAACAAATTGTTACCAGCTGGAGGCAGAAGAGGACTCTGATGACACAGCTTGGAAATCATGGTATTGTGAGGCAGAAAAAGGATGTGTAGGTTTCACATGCACAGGCTGCTATAACAAGCCATCTCCCCATGCCCCCTCCTTCTTCACACAAGTTCTGGGGAGTCTGTGGGTCCAGGCTTGAGCTCTCAGAGGGAATATGAAAGAAGGTACTTGAGTGACCAGAGACTTGAGGAGCCCCTCTAACCCCTGAGCCCCCTGAGGCTCACAGACATGCTCCATGCCTGTACCATAAGGTTGGAGAGTAGAGGGGAGATCTGGGTCAACAGTGCCTACAGCCTTCCGCAGCACTGGGCAGTGTGCAGAGTCCATGCATACTCCCAGATGTATGCTATGGCAGGGGTCTCCAAGGGTGCACAATGTCCCAGTGCTGTCCCTATGACCAGTCCTATCCTCCCTCTGCAGTTATTTTTCCTCCCACTCTGCTCTCCTTTCCACACTCTGGTTGATCTTTTAGGAAAAAATCCAACCTATGCTGCCTGAAAGAGCCTCTAAAAGGTGGTGAGAGATCTTCTTAACAGCTTCTGCTGTTTTCCAACCACACCTTTGGGCCCTAAGCTCTGCTCACCCTGCTCTTTGTCCAGAGGTCTCTCTGATATGAAACTCTCCAGCGGCTGTCTGTCTGTTGCACTTTGGAGAAAAGGAACAGCTGGGACTTACTTCATGTTTTGGGAAGGAAAGATCAAATCTAGACCTGTATGAAACCACTGACTCCCTTGTAGCAATTTCTGGGATGAGGGGACCCTCAGATGTCTGCACCACAAGAAATAGCAGCACAATTGGTGCTGCTGTTGACAGCTGCATTGACAACTCCACAGAGACTGGTGGGGAAGGCCTCTCCATGAGAGCTCCTGGGATAGGGCTGATGCATGCAACAGGTCCTGGGAAGAAAGCTGCATTGCCTGTGCCTGTATAGAATACGAAATGTCAGCACGAGATGTGCCTTTGGCTTGAGTGTGGAGTGACACTAAGAGGACTGTCCCCAGGTCTGGGCCTGGCACCCAAAATTCCCCCTGGAGCAGGTCAGAGTACTGCCAACCTATCTCAATTTTCCAGCAACACATCTTGCACAAGGGGACAGACCTCTATACTGAGAAGGAAAAAAGGAAGGATGCATGTCTGAATACTACTTACATGGCCATGAAGGTCTGTATTTAGCAGCATCAGGGCACAGGTGAGTGTATGAATCCCATCTGAAACACACAACAGTCGGATGGCTATGATTACTCCCCTTCCCACGCGATTTTGATGTTTGCTGTCACCCACTGCAAAATCAAGGTTAGTTGCTATGTCTGAGGACCTTAAGGAATACTTGTTTCAACTGTGCAAGATAGTTTAAAAAAAAAAAAATCCTCTCTTCCTTCAAACTTCACCTTTTCCTGAAATGATCATCAGGTAATTGGCTTTAAAGCAGTTTTGTCAATGGCTTTCTAAACACCAGACTTTCTGCTGAGTCTTCCTCCATATCCATTTTGTGCCCATGCTGTTGCAGAATGGGGCAGAGACCCTGGAAAACAGAGCTAGTTTCCCCCCAGCTGATCACAGTCACCTCAGGCGTTTGTCCTGAGGTCTTTAGCCAACATTCCCAGGCAACCTGTAAGCTCCTGAGTTGTTCAACAAACTTTATTACTACAAATGAGTGCAGCACTTTTGGCTTTCTGACTTAATACAACTCACATGAAGTTTTCCTTCCATTTCAGACAGCACAGCACCCTCTTCTGTACGAGGTAGCCCGGTGGCTTGCTGTTGTTTCAAAACGATGCTGTGTCCTGAAGCTGTTCAAGGTCAAGATCCTAGTCTCCATACGCCACCTCACAATGGTGAGATGAAAATGCACTCTGGCACAGGAACTGGTCCTTGCAAGGACCTCACAAAAGGGATAGAGAGCACCAGGGAGGAGACAGGGGCAGAAATACCACAGCCTTGGTCTTTGGCCCTGCTCTTGGCATGGCTTTGTGTGCTCATACAGACGGGCTGCTCCACAGACCAAGCCAGACATGACATGATGCTCCTGGCTTATTTCCCTTGTGCATGCTGCTCTGTGGATTGGTGCCCTAGGGTCAGGTTGTGACTTACCCCCAGGCCTGGCTGGGGAAGTGACATTGGTCTCTTCTTGTGGAGGCAGCTGTGGCCTACCCCCAAACCCATCAGCCACTAAATAAAGGCACCATTTGTGTGGAAGAGTGACAAGCCCTGAGCACCCCATGCTCAAGGCCAAGCTTAAACACTGCCAGCTAAAGGCAACCAAACACACGAGGCCCAGGACGAAGGCAACTGAGCTCCTCCCTTTTCTGGAAGAACCATGGTCTCTGAGGAAGGACAGGTTTCTCATAGGAACATCACACTTTTCACTATGAGGGATGACAGTCCTGGGGACATGGTGTGGTGGACATCCACCTTCAAGAGAGAATCAATTCCTAAGAAAGCTTCTTCCTTTACTTTCACATGAAGCAGCTTTGGGCTTAGGGCAATGTGCTTCCCCAGTGCGTATTTTGGAGTCTCTGTAGGAGGTTCTGGGCTGACATCTTCACCTGGCTTTACTGTATCACTTTGATGAGGTAAATCATGTCCCACGTGGCCCCAAGATGGAGCTGGTGTCCCAAAACCTGCTATTCTCTCAGTGTTGCTTGGCTCAGTTGCATTCACTTCTTCTCTTGGCTCACACAGTGTCACAACACAACCATATAATTCTTCTATGTGTGGGCTGCTTCAGTACAGGAGAGCACTAATGATATGTCCAAGACACCACTCTTTGGGAGAAAAACCATCCAGCCTACTCAGTGGTCAGCAGGTCAGAGCTTCTGCCACCCTCATCTGCAGCATCCCTTCATATGGGCTGATGTGACCCTTGGAGTTGCAACAGCCATATCTCCATCAATGGAGGAGTTATTTAATCAGCATGTAGCAATGCTCTGAAATGTCTTAGAGGGCTTTAAGACCTTCTCAGCCACCCAGTCATCTCCAGACAAAACTGCCTTATCTCTATCATGCCTCTAGGCCAACCGACCATCACAGCCAGATGTGTCTTTAGAAATCTAGATAAGACACAGTGGCTCAAATGTCATCTTGGTGGAACATCCCTTGCAAGTTTAGGCTGGATGCAACAAGAAGGAACTGCTTCCTGAAGAAAATGCTTGCAATAGCTTTCTCAAATTACCACACATCTAGGGCATGCTTCTGCAGTACCTGTAAAAGATGCGACCTGAAGGAGCCACTTTCCTTTCCTCCATTGCATCAGCTTCAAGTAGTACTTGGATTACAATTGTATTTTTCAAGCCCCATTCAGTCCAGTACTGAGTGCAGCTCTTTCCTGCTTGGGACTCATTCAGTTTACATTTGGTCTGCAGTAAGTGGTCCTGTTCAGCCTTGTGAAATGTGCTGCCACCATCTTAGGGCAATGCTGTGGCCCTAAGTGTTAATGAACAGGTCATGACAGCAGCAGCAGTAATGTGTTTCAGATCCAGTTTTCCTTACTCTTAATAGTCTTGTACAGTTCAGGAGTGTGACATTTTTAAAACAGGTCCCACCAGCAGCAGTGACATCTCCACTGAGGGCCATGCCGGTATGGAAAGCTTTAACTTTCTGGCTTCATTTGTGTTTGCATTAGCAGGCACCTTCTCACAGAGTGTTCAGAACTGGGATCTAATTTGTCTTCTGAACAGTTGCCATAGCGTGGCTCCCTCAGCAGCCATGTTGTCATGGCAAAGCTTGCATTTTCTTTGACTAGTCACTGCCCTACAAACATCCTTATGCTGAAGGGTGTGGGATGGAGTCGGAGATCTGAGCCTCTGTGCTCCAGCTCAGCCTCTGCTGAAGTTGGTGTGTGCACGCCCCCACTGTGGGTCTTAGACACCTGCGGACCAGAAGGAGAGCAAGGGTCCCAAGACCCTTGTCTGTAGGAGTGGGTGTGGATGCAATATGGTTGGGAATCACTTCCAAGGGAAGGTGTTGAAGAGGGGCCAGGACTCGGCATTTGGGATATTTCAGTTGGGCCTGCTGCTGAAAATTCAGCCTGCAGCTTAACCCCTCCTTCCTTCCCTTTCTTCGGAGGGAAGGGTCCTCTTTGGATCAGTGGGGGAGAACACCACAGAAACACAGGGAAATGAAATCTAAACCTGTACTTTATTGGGATATCACTGGTAAAAGCAAAGAGGTCATTCTTTTTTGAGAACAGCTTGTGTCCAGTTAGCTTGGCAGAGGGACTGGAGGGTGCAAGTGACACTTGGCACTGCTGCTATTTGGGAAGTCTGCAAGACAAAGACGAGCAGGAGCTCTCACATGCTGAAGGGGTGGAGGAGAAACAACTGGCACTGCTCTCAGGTCAGCAGTCTGATTTCCACCCATGGGGGCATTTCTAGATGCCTGTAAGCAGGTGTGTAGAGGCATTCATGTAAGTGCAAACATGGATATGTTCATGTCTGGATGTATGCATGTGCACATGTGGACCAGGAATGACCTTTACCATTTTAAAGTGTCAAAAGAAACTATATCTACTTAAAAAAAATAATGGGGAGGGGCTGAAAGTAGCTAACAAAATCTGCAACTCCAGTGAGCCCAGAATTTTACCCGGCCGTGCTTTCTCCTGCTGCAGTTGTAGATGCAAGGAGCACAACTCCTGTGCGTGGCAAGTCAACAGCATTCCTCAATCTGCATGGAAATGTCTTCTTCTATTCAATGGACAAGGTCTTGGGCTGAGCTAGCACCAGCCACTCATTTGCTTACTGCCAGCAACCACTTTGCAAGCCACAATCACAGTAATTTGCAGCCCCCGAGAACCACTCACGACCTCCCCTGGTGCTGGGCAAAGCATGGCCACTGATCCAGCCTACAGCTGAGGAGCTTGTCTTCAGCACAACTCATACGCACTTGAGAGGACAAGGCTCCCTGGGAGCCCACACTCAGACCCTCAGATCCTGAGGGGACTCATCTGGCTCTCTTCGGGGGGTCTGTACAGCACCTGGTGTCCCCAGGCCCTCCCAGGGCAGGGATAATTCGCAGGGCAGGACCCCAGAGAAAGGGAGAAGCTGCAGCCCTGCCTGCCCAGCAGGTTCTGTTCAGGCCCGGCTGTGGGTGGCCGGTTTTACACTCGGGCTCTGTGACACAGGTACGCTGTGAGTGTGCAGTGGACGCTAGAACCAGGGAGGGAAAGCGGTACCTTCAGACGTGCTCTCCTCTGGGTTGCACTGGCAGTATCGCCGCGAGAAATGAACCAGCACCCGCTCCCGCTCCTGCGTCTCTCCCATCAGCGGGAACGCTTTCAAGAATGTCCTGCAAAGAGAAAGTGATACTTAAAGATGTCATGGATCAATTTGCTGGGCAGCATCCATGCTAAGGAGGGAGTTGCAAAGGGGGTCCTCAGAGCAGCTAGGAAGGCCTTTGTCCTCCCCCCAGCCTGTGCACCCCTGGGCCCCTGCAGATGCAATGCAAAAGGTGTCTACAGAGCCAGCTCTGAGCTGTGGAGGGAAACATGCTGCCAGCTGAGATCTGACCCACCTCTGGCTTGATAGCACCAGGATGGGTTGTCCATCCCAAGGGAAGAAGTTGCTCCCACTTGCTCTGATTTTGTATGGCATGGGACTCCTGGCAAAGCTGCTCTCCACCATGGGGAAGCAGGTTGTGGGCCCTCCTGTTGAAGCCCACTTTTGGTGGCAGTATCTTGTGCCAAACGTGACACCGAAGCAAAGATTAAACGACAACCTGGAGCTCCCCCCAGGCCCTGCTCCTATCACATGGACAGCCTCCATGGCGTCGGGAAGCCCAGAGGAGAAACCCATCACGTTGCTCCGCTCTGTCCAGCCCAGGCCCTACGCGGGAGTGCCAGAGACCAGCTCACCTGAGTGCTTTGTCAAGGGTCAGGCCAGTGAAGTCAAAGAAGCTGAGATACTCCTCTGCTACCAACTTGCTAAATTCGTTACTGTAATTAAAGAGGGAGTAGTCAGCCCTTTCATCAGGGAAAAAGACACTGTCTACAAGAGGAACAGCAGACTGCTGCCTCCTGGCCAGCCCAAACTCCCGTGAGACACTGCGGAAGTGATCCCAGACCCAGGGGGACTTTCTCCTAGCTTGAAATGCTGCTGGAAGACCTCCAAGGGGCCTTAACCTGCCCACAGCCTAGCACTGCAGCTGCCAGCCCTAGACACTTGAGATGTGGGCCCCCAGTGCACCCCTCTGCTTGTGCTGCTGGCCAGGCAGAGCCTCCTCCCAAACCAGCCAGGAGGAGAGGCCCTAAGGATGTCCTGTGCTCGGTGGGCACCTTCTCTCTTGCCTAGGTCCTCTCCCATTGCTGTATGTCTCCCCTCCTCCTACTGCAATATTCCTGCTCTCCACATTGGCTCCCATCCCACCTTCTCACCACAACACTTTGTTCGCATGTCAGATGGATGCCCCTGGGAACTGGAGCAGGAGAGCTCAGCTGAGCTTCTGGCCCTCGTCATGCCTGAATGCCTCTCCAGAAACCATTCCCCTGCCACATTTTTGAAGGATGCTCGGAGACATGTTGCCTTTAAAGCCAGAATGGGTGCTGTCAAATTCTGTCTACATGACTCAGGTAGCAGAAGTGCAAGAATAATCAATGAATGCTGGCAAGAAATAGGAGATGATCTCAACTTGCTCAGCCTTTGCCATATACAATTCCTTTTCCTTCTCTCCACAAAATGAAAAGCATACTGGTAAGCATTGCATATCCAGTTTCACCCAGGACATGTTACAGGCAGGACTCATTGCTTTTCCTACAGCATTGTTTCATCTTCTGCTGTGAGGTGGATACTGTAAAGCCTCTGGCATGGATGCTGTTTGGAAGCATGACACACAGTGGGATCAGGCAGAGCAGCACTACACCTCCAGGGGAGAGGTCCAGGCTGAGTTTTGAGAGGCAGGACATAAGTATAGGTGCTGGAGTTTCCACAGGAGGCTGCTTCAAAGCTGTATGAAGCCACAAGGCCTCACATTCATAAAACAATCTTATCATTTGGGATTGCTGGGTCTGGGAAAGAACATGTTCCCATGGCCCTCCAGGTTAGTCTATCTGAAGCAGTGCCACAATAATTGGCATGCAGATTCCTGCCAGCTTCCCAAGGAGACCTCCCCTACACTACTGTCCTGTAACTTCACAGCAAGGTGATGTGAGATGCAGAAGATGACCTCATGTTTGTGAAACCACATCTTCACCCCTGTGCCAAAGAACAAGCAGAACCAAGCAAGCCCCAGGCCTTCTCTGGGATCCCTTCAGCTCTAAGTCCGCAGAAGACCTCATGCATTGGCTGTGCCAGTGCTGGGAACTAGCCAGCACTCTGCCTTCCACAGGTCAGGTTCCACCTCACATGTGCAGTTGTAGTCTCCCAGAAGAAAAGGTCTGATTCCTTCTGTTTGGGCACCTGTTTACCAGGTCTCCTGGAACCTACCTGGGTACTTTGGGCACTCTGGGCACTGGGCACACAGCAACAACTGCCGTGCACTACAGCACTGCAGCAGTCAACAGGGGAGAACAGTGTCTGACTCCCCCCACTTAACTCAAGCTGGGTCTAAAGGACCAGCCTTGCCCAAGGTTTCCTAAAGCCCAAAGACTTGGCATGTCTATAGCCCAGCACAGATCTTGGGTGGGATGAATTGCTCTTGAGATGTCTCCATGGCCTATACTGGGAGCTACACCCTAATTTACATTCCTAACTAGATTCATAGTCAGGCAGGATGAAGGTGAGTGGGAGCTCCCCTTCACCCCACTCTCCCATCAGGGCAGTCCAGGAAAGTAGGCAGGCCTTGCTGCCTGTCCTGCAGCTCACTGGGTCTTGCTGAAGGCCAGGAGTCCATAGGGAACTTGTGACTCCCAGGACAAGTGGTCTGTGCCAAGTGCTGTGGTGCCAACAGTCCCCAGCCTGGGTGCCCATCACACCGTCTTGTGTGCCTTACTTGGCTCCTCTCTGCTTGGAAAACCTCCAGGCAGGGACTGCCAGCTCTGCCGAGGGAACCAGACCGTGTTGCAGGATGTCTAAAGGCAGCCAGCCCCTAGGAAGTTTGTTAACTCCTATGTCTAGCCAGGGGCTCAGTGACATTGATGGGACCTTTCTCCCTGAGCTCCAGAGCCAGTTAACATGCCCCAGACATGGCTGGGACACAGAGCTCCAACACCGGCCAGGGCAAGACCATGGCCTACACTAAGGTGGTCTTAGCTGCTTCCTCTGGTTTCCTTATTCAAGAATTGGCCTTCCCTCTCTCTGTGCCAGTCCCAGCCCCTCCTTCAGGAATGGATGGCACTTCCACCATGCAGCTCAGACACAACAGACATCCCCACAAGAACAGCAAGGCATTTGCCATGGGGACATGTCTGGCATCTGTCAGCCTCTACAGACATCCTCTCACCTTACACCCCAGCTTGATGCTTCCTCCCTCTCCATCGTTCGGGAAGGTCCAGGCACCGAGAGTGCTTACTGACCTGTCTGGGTCACAAGCTACTCCAAGGGTAACACAGGACCCCTGGCCTTTTCTCCTAGCTTCATTCCTGTGTGGCTGGATGTAGACAGGTGTGTGTTGGTTTACAGCCTGAATTACACTGCCCTAAAGAGCTAAGCCTGTATTGTCCAGGATCCTTCTTGTGCCACAGTCACCTGGGTCAAAAAAAGATTGTCCATAAGAAGTTTGGCTAAGTAAAATTCACCTAACCTCTAATGAGGGGAAAAAACACTATGTGCCCACGCCATAGTGCCCATGGGACTCTGACAGACCCCTAGTTCTCTGTGCACTGTGATGCTGAAACTGTGCTCTGCTGCCTGCTCTGTTGCTGCCTGCATGGTTTTGTGAGCACGGTGCTCTCTTGGGAAACTTTGCAAGGAAGTGCCTGGCACTACCATCTTCATGGTCTGGCAGCTGAGATAGTTCAACCTCCATCCAGCAAGAGATGTTTGACTGTGGGTAGTGACAGAGCTGAGACAATGCCAGAGACCAGTCCATTAACAAGAATCTTCCAAGGAGAGTTCAGTTGCCAAAACACGTGCTCTTCAGAGAGACAAAGGTAATTTCTGGATTTGAGGTTAACTTTACAGAATTATGTCAGCTGGGAAGAAACTATTTGGAGATATCAAACCTCCATTTCCTTGTTCATCAAGCTTTTTCTACTTGTTTGACAATGATGAAGAATGGTTTTGGTTTGTTTTTTGCTTTTTTTGAGAAAATTGCCAATGTTCACAAAGAAAAAAAGGGGTTAAAATGAATTTTAAAAGCTTTAAAATGAGCTTTTTTTTTTTTTTTTTAACAATCCTCCTACATGGAGCTGGCCTGAAAGCATCACTTAAAACTTACCCTGCTACCAATACTGTAGGTTGGTCCTACATTGTCTTAAGTGAGAAAAGCCAACTTAAAACACACCTATCCTCATCCTTCTTCCTTTCCTGTTCTGCAAATCCACCTGCTTGGTCCAAGAGCCTGCAGCTCTATCCAGTTCTTGTGCTGGGTAATGACTCAGATGTCAAAAACCCAGCTGATTAAAACCAAAGTTTTCTTTTAAAGGCTATGTCCCAAATGTGGGTCACCAAACAGATTTCCAAGGTGTGAGGACTGGAGGAACTAGCAAGGGGACACACTCAGATGCACCCCTGGAGACAAATTACTTGAAACTTCCCCCACTCAGTGAGCTGGCATGGCAAATTTGCAAGAAAGGAGAAGGATGCCAGACCTGGCAGCAGCAGCCAGTAGTTTACCTGCTACAAGAACCACAGCGAAAGAGAAGAACAAGGATGCTGCCAGGTGATACAAAAAGCCTCTCTAGGAGATCATTCATAGGCTCCTTCTGTCCCAGGACTAAGCTGGGAGTCACAGGCAATCCTTGGTGCTGAAAACTTGAGTATTTGATGCAGGACTGATCCGGACAGGAGTGCGACATTTCAAGGACATAAAAAATTCCAGCAACACAGGCTGTATCTGATCCAGAAGAGGGATGATGGGGACTGGTCTCCTCACGCCCACTGGCATCCAAAAATAGTCTGCTACTGCTACACTCGTTACTGTTACTCTATGTTTTAGAAATCTCTGTAACTCTCCCACTTTTGAATAAACACTTTTTATTTCCCTTCTGCCTTACCCAGGAAAATCTACCAGCTGAGGTGCTTGAACCTCCAGTGTGTACCTGGCTCTCCATCAAACCCTTCACGCCACCTATACAGACTGGGTCAGGAGGCACTGCAGCAAGAAGATTTTGGGGTTCAGACATTAAAAACGCAGGCAGCCCCGTGCAGATCCAGGTCTGGATCCCAAAACCTTCAGCCTGTGGATTGCTTTAGGGTGGATCTTGCTGGGCCCTTACCAAATGCAGAAAGCTCTTGGTTCTGGCAGGCAGCAGCTTGTGGCAGTCAATGCCCAATACACACGAGCAACTTGTAGGATTCAGATTGCAAGGGACTTGGACCAGTTTCAACTGGAAGGATGTCCAACAGCCCCAACTCGATACAGAAAGCCCTTGTAACAGCAGGCTTGTCCCTTCCTGCCTTTGCCCTGTCCTCCCAGCATGACTAGTGCTCCCCCAGACACTCCCCACCACAGCTGTGTTTCTGCTGGCCATGCTCAATGCTGCCATCTCAGTCAACCCCCTCATCGGGTTGGCTGCAACCCAAAGTCCCACTTACTTTTTCCCAAGCTGGCGTGCCACATCGCAGCGCTTGAACCCTTCGAGGTTATAGAGGCGCTTGGCCAGCCTCTTGGCAGCCTCACTATCTGCCCTGCAGCCGTTTGCCAAGGTGTCCGTGCTGCCCTGGTCAAGCTGCTCCGTGCTACCCATGTCGGAGTCAGAGTCTGACAGTGCGTCTTTCAAGCTGGCATCACTACACAGAAACAAGAAACAATTCAAGGAGCAGCAATGTGACTTGATGAAACCCACAGAAAATGCCACATTCTGATTTCTTCTTGTTCTAACGCAAAAATATAAAAAACCAACAACACGTTTGTGAATTGGACATTGAAAAAAAGCCTCTTTGATTTCAGGTCAGATGAAATAGTACAGTTTAGCTTCAAATTTGTAGAAAAAGATTGAAGAGAAGGTGACTTCTCTCTGAGAAATGAGACTGTTCAAAGCAAGGAGCCCCAACACCTTTTTAAGCTTCCTCTCTCTCTGTTGGTACTGAAAGGGATACCAAGCTCTTTCAGAGCTGTGGACATGCAGGAAATCTTAGGGATAGATGCATGTTTTTCAGTTCAGATTATTTGCTGAGGATGAGAAACTGCACTTGTACAAATCATGCCAATGGGACTGACAGCAGACATGCTGTCACTGGTGTGCTGCTCCTCTCCCAGCTGCCAACTGGTGTCGTGGCCAGCGTGTGACAACATGCTGAGCAGCCCCACTGGCACCAAGTAGGTGGGGTTGCGTCTCTCTATTTTCTTGCCCAAGGCCAGTTATGGCATTATGGCACCTATCTGCACATTTTTGGGCAATGTGACTCACTGAAGACCTGATAGCTTGCTGGACATACATACAGCCTCGCTCCAGATCTCCCATCTCCTGGCTGCTCATCACCTGACCTCCTCATGTGAGGAACTGCCCTGCAGATGAGCTGCTGCCTCCCGGGGACAATGCTTTGGGTCTGAGCTGGTCCAGAGAATGAAGTCCCTGCTGATCTTCTCACTGCCCACAGAAGAACCTTTGGGGAGGTCTACAGGGGCACCCAGTTCTAAGTGAAACCTTGCGGCTTCCCTGCACTTCAGAACACACTTGGGAGTGTGCCTGACTGCCTCCAACCTGACAAGGGCTTTTTTGCAGATGTCAGGCAGACAAGGCAGTGGTCTGCCCAGAGGAGCCCCGGCTTTGCCTGCAATAAGAACAGATGGGATTTGTGAGCAGCCAGATAAATGGTGGTGCCCTCCAGAGCAAACGTGAACACAACATGCTGAGCCTTGGCTTTTCTTGGGCTCCCAGGGCTCCTACAGGACCTTGCAGCTCACTTGCAGTTTGGGGTCCTGGATTTGAGAGACTCAGACAGAGGCCTGCTGGGGACTGGCTGGTTTAATGCCATGAGGCCTTGGTCCCCAGCTGCGGTCCTAACCTATGGGTAGGAAAGTTTTTCCTGTTGGTGTTTGGCCTCTCTGCCATGACAGCACATGAGAGAAAGCACAAGGGGAAAAAAAGAAGCTCCATGTCTATGATGTCCTCTGAGCCTTGCTCCTGGATTGGGACCCAATAAGACCTTTGCCTGAGGAATTCCCAGCCTGCCTTACCTGATGGAGTTAATGATCTTGGTGGCATCTTCCTCTGACCCTTCCACATGGAACCCATTTGGGATACTCTTCAAAGACAACCGGCTCAGCACATTCTCCGACCTGCTGCTGGTAATTGAATGCCTGAGAGGGCTCCCAAAATCCCCCTCTGCTGGCTTTGCTGCTGCTGGCTCTTCCTTATCAGCAGCCATGTGGTGAAGGGCTTCTCTCTGCTGGGATACCAGTTTCTGCTCCAAGAGCTCTGGGCTTTCCTTCACCCTTTGCTGGATCAATGGGGTGAGTGGGGCCTCAAAACTGACACAGCTGTCTGTCTCGTCTGTGAGAGAAAGGACATCCAAAGAGTCCAAGCTGCTGTAGTATGTACCCTTCATAAGGTCAGACTCAACGATCTTCTCAAAGGTCGAGCTGAACCCATCCCTGATGTCTTTGAATTGAAAATGTTCCTTGTCATCCTCATTGCAGCTCAGCTTGGCATCTCCAGAAGCAAACCTGAACCAAAAGGGGAAATGTAGAAAATACTGTCAAGGTAATTGCTTGCACTGTTTCACTTGGAGCTAGGAGGCAAGAGAAGACACAGAAATGGATGCTGTGATTATAAGTCCTCAGGACCTTTCTGTGGGATAACCTGCCTGGTTCCCTATTTTATTACAAGCATCTAGATATGAAATAGGCAGAGTTTTATGATGAGCAAACCCAGGGGCCCAGCCAACCCTTAATTTAGTCATGTCCCAGTAAAACGCCGGACCTCTGAACTGGACATGTTTGCATCTGACACCTTACACTGGATCCACTGCCAGAACGGATTTAATCTGCAGGTTCTCTCTCCCTTATGGCTATTTCAAAAGCATGAAAATCCTTAAGACTGAGGCCATTTCATTTAGCTTTGGATGTCAGCAGCAAATGTCCTTTATCCCTTTTATAGCAGAGCAAAAGCAGAAGATTTTAGGGAGCAATTCATATGCTGTAACTTAAGCCTTTATTCTTAGATGAGGCACCCTAGTAGTACAAAGCACCCTACAAATGTTCTCTCTCCACTGAGCAGGATGTAGAAGGTGATGGACACACATCCAGGCAGGGGAGGCTCCATGCTGCTTTACAGCTATCCTGTGGGATTCAGGCACAGCATTACAGGAGGCTACGAAATGCACGAACCTACAAGCCTAGCTTCCAGCTAGGCATAGATGACTCTCAGCAGTCCCAGCCCTGTTTGGCTTTGAATGCAGGGGCATTCATTCCAGTCTCAATATGAACCCCACTGGGAGAATTCATCTGAGTCAAATCCAGCAACACAGAATCACAAAATCACAGAATCACTAGG